GTCCCCCATGGGATCCAACTGACCTTGATTTCCAACCCCTACAAAGGCAGACACGAGTTCCAGCACATTGTCTTCTGCAGCATGGTCAAAGCAGCCACAATGACTTTTATAAAGGCACTGAAGGAATTGCACCACAGCTCCCACAAGACAGAATCTACACTCAAGCCACCAGCAATGCCATCAGAGAGACGTACACAGCCACAAGGCAGCCGTCAAACAGCCACCATCCCTGAGCCATCAAGTAAATGGGTACTAACCTCCAGAGCAACGAGATGAGCACCTCTTTGCTAGGTCTCTATATGGTAGAACATGCATGGACAGGAGTGAGTAAGATATGCCTGTTGGCAGCTAGAGTCTTGGACTACATGCTGAAATACTACTCTGGAGGTCCTGAGCATCCATATGAAACTTTTCAATTCAAAAATGCATTATGATAAAATCTTTATGCATTGGAGGGAAGATGTTAATTTCCTGTTTGGTTCTTAGGAAGTATGCTTCTACACCTGCACCACGCTGACCCGGACTTGCCATTGCAAGTTGTTACAGGACTTTTTTCTATACGTGTTTTGCATCAGCTGAAGACATGTTCAGCCTATAATATTTTCGTGTCCTGCCTTACAGCCATTTCCATGACAGAATCTCCCTGGTGGGTGCTGCACTGGAACAGCAAGATTTTTAACAAGATTATTAGCATAAATATCAGGCCATAGAGGGAACATCCAGAGACCATTCTTCCCTTACCTGCAACACCATTATTCTTTGAAACACACCACAAAAGCCATGCTTAATTACGCAGCAAATAATTATGCACCTCAAAGTCACGTTAACCAAAATGCATCTATCGTTACTCACATCTAAAGCAAATCATTGTTATGGTCAGAAACTTGATGGTTCTAAATTCTTCTCTTTGCCGATTCCAAATCCACAGCTCTTAGATTTGTGTACTAGAGACTTTTTTTTTTTTTTTTTTAACCTTTAGACTCATTTTTGCCCTCATCTGTTTCAGCTTCAAATCTGAGGCTGTGCAGTTTCAGCCTGCTGGCAACAGACTGCATCTTGCTTATTGTTACTTGATTTTGATTCACTTTCTGAAGGGTATCTGACACAGCATGGCTTCCAGCCATACCACTTCTGGCTGTGCTCTTACCATCTAGGCAGTGCCAGGTTCCTCTAGCTCATGAATGGGAATCTTCTCTCCCCACCCAAGTCTCCCTCCAGCCCACTACAGGAAAGCCAAGGCTGTTGAAATAAAAAATAAAAAATCCAACAACAAAAAAAAAAGCAAGAATGGCAACAAAGCTGGTATTGTCCTGAAAATCAACTGGCTACAGCCCACCCACTTCATTTAGGATAACAGATAGAAGGATGAAGCCCAGTTTTTTGTTGGGAAAAAACAAAAACAAAATAACTTATTTGCCTTTTTCTTTGAAGGATGTCTTGAAAACGGTAACAATGTCACTGCTGTAGGGCCAAAGAGAACCAGGGAGGTGAAAACAACACTATTTTGCTAAAAGCCACAGTCGTTCAGGGTGGTCTTTGGGGTATGAATCTCAGATTAACTTCATGGGGGATGAGAGAGGCACTATTCAGGATCTTCCTGGATCCAGTAGGGCATTTTTCAGCTCTTACTGATGTAGCTGCCTGAGTTTAAGGAAAGAGAAGAGTAAGAAAGTTTTCAACAAATTAAGCTGTTTTTAATTTGAAAACCTTGGAATTAAAGTTTTTAAAACTTCAGGGACTGCTATGATTACCATCTATTCTTTTGTGTAGCTCAGAACACAGTACTCCACACAGCAATAACTGGATAAGAACCAACTAATTGTGGTTACATTAAAGTGTGTTACTTTAAAAAACATCTACTACTGACAATGCTGAATGAAGGAACAATGCTTGCTGAGGGTCCTGTCATATGTGCTAAAAAATCATGATTTGTAGTCTCGTCATATATTCAGAACTCTTAACCCTGTCTGCTGTGGTCTCATAAGAGAATATTTCTCCTCCTAGGCTCTTTGTAAGAAGAACTGCATCTGATTACAAATGGATGCTCCTTTTGTGAACAAAATCTTCACTTCAGATTTAGGGACGTAAAAACAACAGGCAAAGGTTATACCACTCACCCCAACATCAAGCAACAGACTTCTTTCTACAGGGTAAGCCTGAAAATGAATTTTTATAGAACATATAAGCAACATCCTGACTGACCTATTTAATAATGTCTCCATGATTTTCAGTGCAGCTGTCTGTAACAGCGTTTTTGCAGAGAGTCCAAGTGACATTAGTGGTAGGTTAGGAACTTGATGCATCAATTAGTAATCTATTCATTTTTTCCAAAGTCTACATCAGAAACAATCTGTGAATGCCAAATCAAGCTTGTGATCTCCATGAACACTTGTTAGTCTTAGGGCAAAAAGTAATAAATCTCAGCTCTTCAACACTCCTAAAGAAATCAGTCCTCAATAAATCTCACAATTATGGGTCTCCAAAACTTGTATTTTTGCCCACGTGGATGTAGATGTTGGTTGGATTTTTTTTTTTTTTAATAAAATTTAAGAAAATTACATCTACTTTTCCTTGATTTTTCTTTTTAAAATTGAAGCTGATCTCAGCTTCTCTATCTCTGCAATGAGTTTCCTTACATCTCATAATCACTTTCAACGTTTCTACAACTTTGAAGGTAAAGTCAGCAAACAATCTTCATATTTGCACAAGACTTGCTGAAACAGGATTGCTCAGAGTACCTTGTTACAGTTCACAACCAAGAGAAAAAGGAGAGGCCTGAAACTTAGTAAGATCAATGAAAAGATTGACTTCAAGGCTAGAAAGGCACCAGTAAATTGGCCCATCTGAAATAACTAGCCAGGCCAATGGTAGATGACAGCATACAGGGGTGATTTTCATGCTCAGAGAGAGTGATGACAGACAGACAGCATTTTTTTTTCCTTTGACATGAATCATTATTTGATTATGCATGCACATGGATGGGCTTGAGGGAAGAGTAGGCAGAAGGACTTTAAGTCCCTCCAGCACCCAGCAGCCTTTCTAATTTCTCTTGCCTGAGCCTGTTCTAGATTCTTTTCTCTCAGTAATTGGGCCCATGATGCGGTTCAGTTACAAAATGCAATCACTTCAGCCACTTGTCCCTCTTCACCTGCAACCTTTATTTAACCTTTCCATCTCCTCCCACAACAGCATCTATAACTCTGCTGAAGTCAAAGATCCTCTGCACAGGAGAGAACTCACTGGTCTAAATCTTCCAGCGCACGTCATGCTCTGCTAACCTCTTTTTTAAGACATCTCATATACACCACTTGAAATACCTTTCTGTGATGAAGAAAAAAAAAAAAAAACAAAATAGAAAGGCTTTACCACCAAGAGTGGTAACTCAGAAAATAAAATAGAGTTTGCTATTTAGTGCACAGATGGAAAATTGTATCCAAAAGCATTACATCCCTTATTTGTGTTGTTTGCAAAGCATTACTGGAAAACAGCTTGACAGCTCTTGTGGGAAATTTGGCAAATGCCATGGCAGAGCAGCCTCAGTCTTTTACAGAGCTGGATTTTCTGCAGCCCAAGTATTTTTTTTCTGCTCTTGGCCCATCCAAAGATGAGTGCTGAATTTCCCTTAACATTACCCACAGGTTAATTCATTATTAAACTTAGGCTCAATTTAACATCTTGGCACACCATTCAAATAAAACCAAATCCTTCATTTCTGCTGAAACCACCTTTGGTTTGGCTCAGCTACCTTTGGTGTCACTGAATGGTGAACAGGCGATTCATTTTCATCTTGTCAGTTCTGGTAGTAACATACATATCCTCCATGCAACTCAGAAATACACTGCTGTAAAATAATTGCTTGTCATGCAGTGAGATTGACCAGAATCTGAACTTCATACATTGGCTCTGACTTAGCTGTCAATTATTTGCTTCTGTAGGAAAGGAAGATATAGTAAACACATTAACAGTATGTGTCCAGAAGGGCGCAGAAAAAATTTCTGCATAGCTTCATACTAGAGAAACAACAGTAGGATTTTCTGCCTTCCACCCAGAGACACTAAAAAAAAAAAGGAGTATTTGAAAATGCCATAGGCACAGCCCTTACTCTATAAATTTGTTCCTGGTCTAATTCTATACGTTAATTACACAGTCTAACTGTGACACAGTGCAACCACAGTGATGTCGATGGAAAGGGAAAAAAGTTCGTAAGTATTATGAGTAACTGCACATTACATTCAGCTTGGAAAGCAGTGAATGTGAATGGTGACCTTTGGGTTAACTCATTAACTGCACTAAGACTATGTAGTAAATGACTCTTCCAGTCAGTTTCTTTTATTCTGTCCACGGAATATTTACAGGCAGCTTTAAGGTCTTCAAAGACACCTGCAGAAAGTACCTGGTAATCTCATGGGAATTATCATATCCTTTGCTTTTTTTTTTCCCCCCTCCAGTGAAAGTGCACTGGTCAGCTGTAATTGAGCTGATAAATCAAGTTATACAATTTACTTCTGTTGATCAAATAATAATGCTTAACAGTATTTCCAAAATGCTGATGTTTACAATGCAGTATCTACACATTATTTCACTTGCAGAGGCCAAACTGTTACCAAAGTATTATTGAAACTCTTGTCAGATACCTGAGCTTCAAAGAAAATTTTGCAGCTTCAAAGATGATAAGACTGATGTTGTTTTCCTGAACCTATTCTAGAGCATAATTTGCAGAATTTGTCTCTAAGCATTACCATCAATCATTTAAGGGAATGAGGCCTCTTCAAGCTATTAAAAATCATACTGTTGAGTGGAGAACAGAGGAGTATCTAACAGTAAGTTTTATGTGTGCCAAAGAAGTACTTACACAAGTCTTCTAAATTTAAATATCAATCTACCAGATATATAAAATCCATAATGAGCATGTCACACCAGAAACTTCATTTGTAAGCTTTTAAGTGAAAGTAGCTTACAGTGGCATCAGTAAAGAAAGAAATTGAAATACAAATCCTTACTTGTGCCCAAGTTCATGTGCAATTGTAAATGCTAGATTGAGACCATTGTCTTCAGCAAGAACACATTTTCTCTTGGCACTGCAGACACCTCCCAGGTAAGCAATTCCTGCAACAGAAATAGAGAAGACGTACCCATCAGAATTGGTGAAACAACTCATGCACTCAAAACACGCAGCAGTAATTCAGTAAAAATGATGAAAATATGTACCCAACATGGAAAAATATTAAGTAGCTTTCTCACAAAATCACCTACTTTGTCCATTGTCTTAGTGAGAAGTTGGTTCAGTGGTTTATTAGACATGTAACAACTCAAGTTAAGCACAGTCACTCTCACTAGAAAATATTTCACTTCCCATGCAGACTCAAAAATTCACTGCAGCTTATCTGTAAGTGTCTGCTACTACCACGTTAGAATACAGATACAGTCAGGTAGCTTTAACAACTAATTAAATGGAGTTGCCCCGATTTTCAGACTAATATTGGTGAGAAGGAATAAAATCATACAAGTTGAGACTTCTGAGAAGATGTTACAATTTCCCTTATTTTCATACCCACACAAAATAAGAGTGGCAAACTCAGAAAAGCTAGCAAACTCCTGATGGTGAGTCAGAAAGTCAACATAGGCTGCAAAAGTCTTCCATGACTTAGAGAAATTCATCCTGCAGACAGCTGTGCAGGGCACCAGAAGCGCTTGTAGGTTCAAGTCAAAAAAGAATTTAGAAGTGACAGTATGAGACTTCTAGTGTGGAAAAGCAATAATTTCCATATGTCTTTCCTGCATCCAGACAATTCCCTGCAGCAACCATCACTGTACTTCTTGGAAATGTAGTAATTGCATCATAGATAATTTGTTGATGAACACTTGTTTCATCTGCCACCTAAAAACCAGAGTTAAATCACAGGGAGTTTTGTATAAGAATCAGAGACAGAGAAGGAGACTAAGGATGCTTCTATACCTCAACTGGTAAATGGCCACACTTCAAAAGGCACACAAACACATCAAGTATACACACAAAACAAGATTTCTAACTGGCATGCAGTAACCTATGTGCTGAGTTCATTCTGCTACTTCACATCCTTCTGCCACACTGCAGAAAGGGAAGCATGAAGACCTTTCACAAATGCCTTTTTTCAAAGGGAATTCATTTGCTTATATTAAACAGAAAACAAGATGCATTTCCTGTTCTTACAGTGAAGCAGATAGGACTTATCTGCCTTTAGTGACTAGAGCACAACTGTGCAATGCATACATGAGCTCATTTCTTTTTTCTGTTAGAGCTGACAAAGTTGTGTTTATCAAGGTGCAAATGGTTTAAAACTTCATGTCTGCAAGAACTCCAGTTCTGTTTTTATGAGTTCTAACAACAATATGGACAGGGATATTTATTGATAGGGGAATTCTGGACAGAAAGAAGAGATGGGAAATAGCCTTTTAGTTCAGTATTAGCAGTAAGGATTGAAGGCAGCACAACAATTAGGCATTAATGTTTGCTTATATTAAAGCTGATAACCATGGAAGGCCGCATTCATAAAAGATGCAAAAAATAACATCAAGCTTTAATTTCTTAATCAATTACCACAGAAGGCTGGACTTGCTCTCACATTAGTTCTAAGGACGTCAAGGAATCACTCAGGAAGTAATATGTTACCTTGTAAAAGAAATTGCAACCTCACTCCCAACACCTGATGAACCAATGAACTGGTCACAGAACTGAATCTCAGCTGTCGGTGCCTGCAGTGCATCTTGAGCTATGAACATACCTCCTCTTTCTTTTCAAGATCAAAAAATATTCCTAGTTGATTCTGAAAGGGAAGTAAATATTTCTCCTGATTTATATCTGCTAGTCCTGACCACAGCAGGATTCTGACTGAAAGTGCTCTGTTTCTCTTACTAATCCTGATTATATCATCATCTTCCATTTAACCACGCCAATATGTCACTCAATTGTATTTAACCATGCATGGATCTAACTGAGGAGTAACAAAGCAATATTGCACATCAAGTTCAGTGGTCAGACAAGCCAGTTCAATTCAAAATAATTCGTGCTACTTTCTTTCTGATAAACTTCAAAAATCCAATTTATTCAATGTTTGATGACACTTGGAAATGAAAGGAGGTAACATTTCCACGCTTGGGATATACAGTGTAGCAAACTAAGAGTACTGGCAATATATTAAAAGAGGTTAAATATCAATTAAAATTTCAAATACACCATGAAGGCTTCAAGCAATGATTCTTTTCAAGTCTGTTTAGCTGTTCTAATCCCCATTGAAATTGACTGGCAGAAACATTGAGTTGTGCTAAAAATCTCATTGCTCAGTGATGGAAAAGTAACTTGGACTTGTACATTCATCAGTGGCTGAAGAAATAGTAAACTGTGGCTCAGTTACAGACTTTTAACCACCTCATTTTTATTAGTTGGTTTCAGTGTCCTGAGCAGCCAGTTTCTAATATCTGCAGTGAACCATTTCAAAATCTAGACATCTAAATCTAGCTTATTATTACAAATATTAAAGACATTTGTTCCAGCAAAGCCTACTGCATCAGACAACATAGGAACAGAAATGTACAGGGGTAAGAAACTTCTAGAATGGCAGATGGCAGAAAACTCGGCTGAAGCTGATCTCAGTAAGGAATCCAGCTTATAAACTGAGAGCTTATTAATGAGTAATTCTATCACAAGCTAGCTATAACAAATTGTTACAGCATTATGCTTGCCTCAAGTGTTTTGGAATACATACTTTGTTTCAAAGTAATTCCAAGGATTATGCATTTTTTGAACTAATATTTTACCATAAATGCTTTCATTAGAACCCAATAGCAAGCCCTCTACTCACCTGCAAACATAACACAGTTCTCTAGTAAATATGTTCAAACCACTAAGATCAAATTGTTTTGTGACCCAGTACAGTGATCCATATAACTGATATGCAGAGAACAACAAACCTTCACTGATAGTATGTGGCAATGATAGTAGTCCCATGCCTTAGTAGATGCATTGATATGATTTATTTTCTTCATTGGAATGAATGGAAATTCAATACATTTCATGCATTCAGACATGCTCATGAAAATCCTGGCATGTTGCTATCTACCAAGGCTGGGAATAACAGAAGAGAAACTTCTCCTCACTTTATGATTTTGCTTCTGGCCCTGACTAGGAAACAGGTGTTTGAAAATTAAAAAAAAAAGGAAAAAAAAAAAGGAAGAAAGTTGAACAGATTTATTTATTAAACTTACAGTGTGTTCATACAAATATATAAACAGTGGCTCTCTTTGGGATCATATCTTTCCAAATACACCACTGACTGACAGCAGTTATCAAAAATCTATTTTCAATATTAAAAAAGGTCAAGCAGGTGCATCAGTGGGAGAGGAAAGAAAAGCCAATTACTATTTTTACTAAGTGTGAGGGTTTTTTCCTGTCTCCCGTGAGAAATTCCATAATTACTGTCCATTACTTCTGTGCTTCAGTTTGAACGCTCAAAGCTATCTGCACTTCTACAACAAACCTTAGGACACAGACAACTGTGTAAACTCAGATTTATCCAAGAAGTTGTCATGTATAAACAGTTTGCAGCTGTTGACCCTTCTGCCAGCTAATAAGCCCTCTGCTAGTAGTATCTCTAGGGGGAATGATTACATATATCCTACCAGCTCAGTTAGGCATTAGAATATTACATACTTGCCACAGTGATAGCCAAAGCTTGAAGAAGACAAGTTCTGAAGCATGGCTTCACATTTCATCCTATTCAAAACACCTGGGACTTCCTTTAGACATCTGTGGAATATTCACTCAGCAAGTGGCTTATCCAGGTACTCCAGCTTTCAACCCTCTAATGTCTTGTTTTCATTGCACTTCTAATACGTTAATCTTTTCTTTTGCCAGCCACCTCTGGATACAGAACTTTTACTTGATTAAAACTTGGCTAGCTTTCCTCTTCTCAATATATTTGCTGTTGGGAAGAGAGCCAAACTTGAAGTCCTGAAGTCTGCTTGGCACAGATGAAGACTAGCTGTACATCCATATGCACAGAGCAAACCCCCCATTCCCCACCATTACAAATTTGATGTTGAACTGATGTTTTTCTCATCTTCTCACAACTCTTCTCTTCGTGCAGGTCACACACTGCCATCACACTCCCATAGCCTTTCTTAACATCCTACAGGAGTAAAATCAGAAAATCCTACAAGTCATTCACACTGCCTTTCCGTTCTATTGCAATAATATTTTTGACAGAGATGTACTGCTTGTATTTTCACATCAAGTCAGTCACCAAAGGAGTCCTTCAGTGCTTGCAATGTTTAAAAATGAAAAATACTTTTTATTTCTATGATGTCTACCTATGGAAAAAAAACAACAGAGGAAGAACCTATTAAGCTGCCTCCAACACATTCTCTGTTCTACAGCTGAATAAACAGAGGTCCCAAAAAGGCAGAAATATCCAAATGAAAAACAACAGTATCTATAGAAGCAGCCTCTCCAGTTTGTACTCTAGATCCTAAGGTTATTACCATCACAGTCCTACAGAGCCTCCAGCTCCAAGTTTGATTTTCAGGTATCATCCAGAATAAGCTAACAGCGTGAGATGTTCCTTCATTTTATGTGCTAATTCAAGGCCAGATATGCAATTTTAGTGGCACAGATTAATTTGGCGTAGTGCTCGATAACCATTTTGATGCCAATTTCTGTTAATTCTGCAGTAAAAAACATGGTTTCTATTAGAGTTTAACATTAATGTATGGAAACTGTTTTCCTTTGCAATATTTTTCATTGTCACTGCATTTAATGAAAACCACACTGGAAGCAATGTAGTCACTGCCAATCACCAGTAAATGAATTACAGTACAACCTCCCAAAGCACAGAAGGCAGCTATAGTCAAGTAGGAAAACAAGGTAACAACCAACATTATTAAGCATTTTTAGAGAAGAGTTTCTGATGCCAAGGACCATGCAATATAACTTATCCCTAGGCACTGCTAGAAATCAACTACAGCTTCAAAGGCCTATTAGGATGCGTCTAGCCTTAGAGAGAACAGAAAACATAAAATAAGCTGAATCTTGTTGTGTCTGAGAAAGAAGTCTATACAACTTCATACAACTT